AGGTTAGTTTAGGTTATTATGTTTAGTTAGTTTAGGTTAGGTTAAGTTAGTTTAGGTTAGGTTAGATTAGGTTAGGTTAAGTTAGTTTAGGGTAGGTTAGGTTAGGTTAGGTTAGGGTAGGTTAGGTTAGGTTAGGTTGAGCTTGATTGATTGACTTTCAGTTACTTTTGTTTGTTTAAGTTAGTTATTTCGAGTCGAGTGAGTTAGGTTTCAGAGAGTTAGTTAAGTTAAAAGACAACTGAGTTACTTGAGTTCACTCAGTTTTCTTTGTTGCCTGAATTAACTGAGTTTAAGAATTTACTTGATTTAACTAAGTTAACATCGAAAAAGTGTTTGAGTTTTATGAGCTAATGAATTTAATATAGGTAATTAAGTTTGATGAAATTAATTAATTTAGTTGATTCAAGTTAACTGAATTTATGCATTTAAGTTACTTATGCTCTGCGTTGTTTGAAATGATTGTTATCTTGGTTAACCGAGTTATGAGTTAATCCATTTAGGTTATGTTCTTACTTGAGTCAATCGAACTGTGTTAATTGATTTGATTAAGTTCATTGTGTTACACGAGTAGATGTCACTGTGATTCAGGGTAATGATAGGACCTTTCAGTCTTGTTTATTATCGTCAGAGTGAGGGACCCTCGCTGCAAATTCCTGCTCCTTTGATCTGAAGTTTAGTGTCAACTGTTAACAGAGGGCCACGAAGTCCTGGTCTGGAGACAGACTGCATTATGCAGAAGAATTTTAGCAATTGTTTGCTTTATCAGATTTACCGTCAAGGCACAATAAGAACCAAGGAGATAAACTAGTCTTTTAATTGCATTCTAAAACGGTTTATAGACTGTTTTTGTGTTAATGTCATTTGGCAGTATTGAAAAGAGTATATTAAAGAATCGACTACAAAGTTTGACAACGTTCATCTTGTAACGTTATATGGTTATAGGAGCATTAAGTTGTTTCTTCAATAAAAACATTTTATTTTTACACAACACGATGTAATAATTATGTAAGATACTTTTAAATAGCTTCATGCCAGACACGTACTAGAGAAATACCGTGATGTTAGTTCTGTAGACGTATTTCATAACACAAAAGAAAATTAATAATATTATGAGAAATTACAACAAAAATTAAGGCAATATTTTTTGACAGTGCGAGGTATTTTTTAAGAATTTTATACTCTATGTATATATAATAAATTTTAGGAAAGTGGGAAAAGAATTTCGTATCTCGACGAATCACCTATCGTGACTTTATAAGATTCCTCTTGAGATCAATTTCATCTACAGTGTCTTCAGATGATCCAGTCAGTAACCCACATACAAATGTTCACGACCTTTAACTTACGAAAATGTACCCATAAGTTTTCTGGATGTCCGCATATAACAGCCTGAGATCCGATGAACGAATTTTAATAAAATCTGATATTTAATTATTGTGATTAACTCTGTTTACACATTCAAATTTTTGTTAAAATCTTAAAAAAAAAACTGACACTACATATGAAGACCTCGCGTCAATGTCGAATGACCTTATTTCTAGTCCTAAGATCGATTTAAAAACACGCACGTTCGACTTTTTCCTGAATCGATTACTACGCAACATTTATGATAATGCTCTATCTCATTCGTAACTTTCAAGTCAATGCAAAACCAGAATGTTAGCAACGACAACGTAGAAAACTCATATGCCTTCAGAAATCGATTGTAATCGTTTGGATTGTGACGTCACGTGGTTGCAATTGTATCGAAATCGTCTTTTGGGGCAATATGGCGGCAAAACATTTCTCAAAAGCTTTATAAAGCATCTACAAACCCTCTCTCATGGCTTTACAAGCTACAGATGACATTTTCACCGCCATGATATCCTTTAATCTAATCTCACCTAATACGAAAATGAAATAATAATAGTAAAATAAAAACGAACCCTTAATCCTGAATGCATGTACATGCTTGTAAGTGTGGGTCAGATTTCAAATAAAAATATTTGTTAATATCATTTTATCTAATTTATAAGGTCTTGATATTAAAATATAGCAGAAATTGAAAGTTGCTTTGTATTCCACGTTTTAAATCAGCAATCAGAATTCAAAACGCAGAGGAGCAAAGGACATACGTGATAATGCGACGTCAGGGCAATCGCCCTGATGATGGAGGCAGCAGGCACCTCTGAAACGCCATTGAAACTTGTACAATACTTCACGGCGCAATATATCAGAAGACAGCCATCTTGTTATCGAAGTTGTTCCGGCTTGTGACATGCACGTTTGATGTTATCAGCTTTAAAATGCAACCGAAATGTCAGATGGAACGAATCAGGGTTTCAGAGGACGAAACCAGCGCGTGACATGGAACGCAACGATGCAAGCAGCGAGATATGTAACTTTTCCGTTCAGCGTGATGTAACGAGGTTCGGGTTTTACGTATTTCCTAAATGACGCTGTAACAGTTTCGGGTTTTATTTCCTAAATGACGCTGTTACAGTTTCTGTGCATGAAGAGGGATATATAACGTGTTCCTGGAGTAAGGCTCTGTCAGAAGTCGAAGACACGTCCATCATGTTGCCAGTCATCATCTGCGTAGTTCTTCTAACACCGGTAATGTGATAATGCAAACTAAAAAGCTACACAAATCAAACTTATTTGAACTTTAAAGTTTGTTGATAGTCGCCATGTCGTAAACTTAGACGCTACACTGAGTTAGTAAGATCGTTGTTAAATAAATCACAGATAAATAAATTATATTATAACGTAATTAGTTTTTTAAAAAATATAACACAGTCTTCGAGACTGGAGTTTTGGACGGATTAATTCTTTTGAAGCATGAATGAAGTTAATTGTTACCTCTAAGTGTGCACGCTAAGTGAAACAGCATTTCGCTGTTGCTGGCCGCCCTCGGTGGACTAGTGGTTAGCGTTTTCGCCACTGAACACAAGGTTCGCTGGTAACTCGCTGCTCACAGATGCACACTTCAAAGACTAGGAAACCTCCGAAATGGAGGTGGCCACGACTGGGTTGTAGAGTCAGAGAGTGAAGAAGAAGATTATATTATTCTGTAATAATTATCTTGTCTTATGTCCGTATGTTTATGTTTTATATCACGAGAGTAATAAATAATACTGATTCAATAGTAATACTAAGAGAACCAAATTATGTCAGATTTCGGAATTACAGTTTTCTACCAACAGAGATTTAGTATCTTTTACATAATTGTTTCTTTACTGTGACTTAATTTTTCAGGCTCTGACCGACTGCGCGCCTGACAACCGTAAGTGAATAACAATTATGGTTAGTTTTTAATGTTTCATTGTCTAGCAAACGATATCATGAATTATTTAATGTAAACAACGTTCATAGCAAAGTTCAAAGAAAATGCATTAAGAACTAACTCAATTCCAGATGTTATAAACCTAAATTTCTCTGTCTGGTCGACAAACGTCAATGTGAGGTTTAATCATGGCCTAAGCAAAAGCTCCCTTCACACTAGGGCGACCTAGATGGAACGATAACATTAAGATGAATCTTACGAAAACATGTAGACTCGTAGTTTTTCCCCAATGTCTCAGAAGAGTCTGTTGTTCTCATATCACATCGTGAAGATAGATACATCAAATTACTCCGAAACATTTGACAGGATAGACATTAGGCACAACTACCTAACCAACCAGATGGCTTACGGAACCCGAAGGTTCATCACCGAATTAACCAAAGCCCTCCACCGGACCCTGTCCTGGACCAACAAAATCCAGTCTCCTTCAACTCCTATCTCCCATAGATCCCGCCTGAGATTATCCTCCCATCTACGTCTAGGTCTCCCCAGTGATCTCTTCCCCTCAGGCTTCCCAAATAGTAGACCCAACCAACCAGATGGCTTACCGAACCCGAAGGTTCATCACCGAACTAACCAAAGCCCTCCACCGGACCCTGTCCTGGGCCAACAAAATCCAGTCTCCTTCA